AAATTCATATTTTGGTATAAATCCATATTTTATCCAAATAATCCCTTTACGCTAACCTAAAATAATTTAATTTAATTTCTATTTTCAATTTTATTTAAAAATCATATTTTTGAAAATTATACTTTCATTAATTTCATCGTATAAGCAAGTTGTAATTCCCTTTTCACCTAATTAATAATTAGGTTAATATATTTTCGGATTATTTTATTATAAAAATTATGAAAATAAAGTTTTCATGAAAAATTCTAATTTTTATTATTAGAAATTCATTTATGATCATTTAGAACATTATCCTTTAAGAAACTTTCTTAAAATCCAATAATATAAAAACCCTAATTTCTCCAACTAAATAAAATTTATGGGAAGCTTCATTTTTTTGTGGTTAACTTGCTTTCCCTAAATTTTTATTTTTAGAAAATTTTTTAGAGAAAGGAGGAATTTGAAATCTAAAGCATACATTATTCCCTTTACACCTTCGATTTCCCCCAAATTCGGCCGTCGGAAATCGCCGCTGGAACCGTGCCCTAGAATCCCTCAACCGCCCTTCTCCCTTCCGCCTCTGTCTCCTCCTTTCGATAGCACGAAACAAATGAGGGACCGAATTCTATTCGGTCCCTTAAAGGTTCAATTGCTAAAGGATTATGAAATTGACCAATTTGTCCTCACATTACATACACTTGTTTAATTATTTATTAAAGGTGTTTTATGCATTATGAAACTTCTATGAATTTTAACTTCCAAATTAAACAAAATTCAATATAGATTCTATATACCGATTTGTTCGAAATTTTGCATAGAATTTCATAAAACTATTTTCATCAAATTCTGATAACTTTGAAAAATTAATTTAAATTTTGTTGTGGTGCATCGAAAGACGTGCGATGTCTAAAATTGAGATTTTTCATGTTTTATATGGTCACTTTTGTATGCATTTCTCAAACAACAAATTACACTACTTACAATGACCTGCCTTAGCCATACATATATGGATTAAAAAATAAAACAAAATTAAACCCAAAGAAGCTCCCCCTGTCGCAGAAACCAGTATTTTCAGGGAGCACAGTGGAATCCAATCATGACATTTAGTGTGTAGAAGAACAGAACATGAATAAACTGCAGCTTTATTCAGCTTGTTTTGTTAATTATTAGGCCAAATGCAAAAAAGCTCAAGTTTGCCACCGAGCTGTTCACATTTAGTTTGTTTATTATCAGGTCAACATGAACATCATGTGAACAATTTATATGATCATATGCATGAAAAATACTCAATTTCTCTCATGGCATGAAAAATATTGTGACCATGATAGTAAAAATAAAACAAATTGAATCATGATAGGTCTGAACATATTGAATTTACTTTGAAATTATTACAATATAACTTCTTCATATATATGAAGCTAATCTCAAAGCAAATTAAATAATTTTTACACTCATCCTGATTCAATTTATATCAGGATATCCTGACGATTTTTTTTTTCTGGCAAGAAGTCCTTCTAAGATTCATGACACTTAAAATGTAAATTTTCATGATTATAAAATATATTCATGATTTTAATGATAAAATGCAGGAGTAAAATAACAAAATGTAGAACAAAAATCAATTATATCTGCATATCTTCATTTTGCATTTAATCTGTAAATATACCTATAGCTCTTTTCATTAAAAAATCAAATAAGCTCACTTTTTTAGAGCATCAACCTTTCTTGGACACCCCTAACAAAACATATCACAAAAAGCAAAGTAAACTGAGATATACTAATTGAAAAGGCCCTTCATAAATAGTTACAATCTTGCTTTTAGATTGCGCTAGGAGAAAAAAAAAGTCCTTCAAATGTAATCTTGACCTTGTTCTTAACATGTGTAATACTAACAACACCCAGGTACCATCTTTGCTTCCAAATGTAGGCAATTTTGACCTACGGGGAACTTCTCCATTGAGATGAAACCAATAATCATGCCCTCCATTGTCTTTGAACAATCCATGAAAATTTTCAAGCCTTTCTTCTTCCTTCCCATAGCCCAAAGCTGATACTCATTCAACTCAACCTTTATTCTCTTTCCCTCGCTCTTTCTCTTGAAATTTTTAAGAGTCATGTGCAGAGTCGGGGTTAGGGTTTTGACGGTCCATATGGGTTTGAGCTCAATTGTTATTTAAGGCCAAGGATTGTGGAATTGTTACCTCAAGATCTGTTTATGTTATGTTGATCGATTGCAATTGACACATAATAGACATTGGATGTTATATGGCTAACGTTGCTCAACAAGTAGCAAGATTGAGATGGGAATAGGGGTGAGAGAAAAATACATAGACAGTTTATTCAACCCGAATCAAACCAATTAGTTTGGAGTGCTTCTCAAAAGTCATTGTTCCTATCCAATTCCCATCATATGTTAAACTAGTATATTCGATCTATTCTTGCTTCCGCTACTTGGCAACCAAGAATTGATCCAAACTAAAGTCTACAAGCTTATAAAACTAGTATTTTTAATAAATTCAATAATACAAGACTCATATAGCCAAATTTATAATTTTATTAGATTTATGCAAGTTATGCAATGTTTGAGGTGAAATTTGTAAGTCATCTTATTTCCAAATTACTTAGAACATAAACATTAATAATTATGTAGCACATTATATTTTTAATTAAATATTTAATTTATATGTTAGTATGAAGAGATTAAATTATGAAATTTAACTATCTTAGATGATACCATAAATAAAGGTTGAAGTATTCTTCTTCTTTAAATGACGCAAACCAAACTACACTATATCAAAACCATAATGTGATTGAACCCAAGAATCAAGACAAAACCTAATTGAAATATATGGTTATTTTTTGGCATGGCTCTAGGGAAACTTGGATTAGTTTTGATTTCAATAATAGTGAAAATCAAACAAAGTCAATTCAGAAAGCAATTTTGAATGAAACCAACCCAACCTAATCAGAGATGTTGATGTAACAACCCAAGCTTTTAATCATGATGACATTTTTTGCTTTAGTTTGTTGGCCTCACAATTTCATATGTTGGTATGTTGGTATAATATCCCAGAGTAATGTTTCCTTTCAAGGGCACTTAACTTTAGAGTCCCTCATGAAATTTCAATCATTATACCAAAATACGCCTTGAATCATTCTACTTGAGAAGTTTCACTATATCCCACACTTCAATGATTTATGTCCTCTGACCTCATCAATATCCATGAACATAGCTCAAAATCAACCACCAAGAGGTGGCTCCCACCATACAACACTTTGTCCAAGCAACAATTTTAAGAGGTGACTTACATGGTGTAACACATTATCTTATTCGGTACTTAATTCTCATCTTCTAACTAGTTTAGATTCTTTGAAATATCCTTTATAACAATTTAAACTATCAACTATTGAGTAATTGTTCTATTTGGCTTGCTAATCTCAAAATTTTGTTACATCAATGTAGCTTACCAAGTTGGCACCCACCATTTTAAATTTTCAAACTCTCAAACATCAATATATTATCTATTTTAGCCAAATGGATTTACGATTGTCTATTTGGTATAACTTCTCAAATCCCATGAGTGCCCTCATAAAAGTATGCTTAACTTTAAAGTTCCTAATAAAATTTCAACCATTGAACAAAAGATGTCTGGGTGTTTAACAATTTATCTTCATTCTATTCAAGTAGCTATACAGTAAAAAATCATGAACTTATGTTTTCAATCATATGTGATATGACATTAATGATTTTGATTAAAACAAATCTTCAATGGTGTCATCTAACTATTTGATAAGCATTTTACAAATTATTCAATAATTGCCAAACTATGATAATTTGGCATACATTTCTCATCTATGTAACCACAAGACGAGTTTTAAATAAAGATTATGAATAGTCATGGATGAGCCAATTTCAAGCATACAGAGTATTTCATTTATTTTTTAATGTATTTGATTGAGTTTGATTTACCTCTGGATGCAAAGTAGATGAAAGCAATTAAAACTTAAAAGGCTTAATTAGCATGGAAAAAATTGAGATTATCCTCCTAAAACATCCTTCAAATTTCATGAAACTTAAAATATATATATTTTTCATAATTTTTAAACTATATTCCATGAATTTTCAATATAAAATGTATGACAGGAAAAAATAACATGAAAGAGCAAAATGAATTGTATATTCATTTACCAAAATAATTCATCGCATATTAAATAAAGATACCAAGTTCTTTTCAGTTAGAAGCAAAACAAAAAGGTTCATTTCGTGAACATAAAACTGATTTCTTGACACCCCTAACGAAACCCATCACCAATAAAATAAAGCACAGTGAGGCTGGCATACCTCTTGGAAAAGGGTCCTTCGGAAGTAACGGTGATCTTGCTCTTCTCACGCGTAACGTTTACAACATCGCCCAAGGTACCAGCTTTGCCGCCAAGGGAGGCGACCTTGATCCGCTCGAGGAGGAACTTCTCGAGTGAGGCGATGTCCATGATCTTGTCCTCCACTGGCTTCGCACAATCGATAACAAAGGTCGAACCTTTCTTCTTCCCGCCCTTAGCCCCGGCGCTGCTTCCTGTTCGGCTCATCCTTTCTCCTCTTTCTCTCGCGCTTCTCTTGCCGAAACGCTGAAACGTTGTGCGCTGAGTTAGGGTTTCGAAGGTCCGAGCGGTTTCAGCTCGATTGGTATTTAACGGTCGGGGGTGTTGGCATTGACCGCTAGATCTGTACGTTGCCCTTCTCAGCTCCGTTGGATGCCGCATAGTCTACAGAATAAAATAATGAAAAAGTGACTCAAATAAACCCTAAATTTAAAAAAACATATGATTTTATGCTAGTTTAGTTCTAGGGTAACTCAATGAGTTCCAATATCGCAATAGCGCAACACAACTGAATTAATTTGACTACAATTTTCAAATAAAATTGGTCCAACTCTGCAGACAAATTTAATATAAGAAATTAAACTCTCAATCATTAAGATATTGTTTGCAGGATTTCAATATATATAAAACTCCTTAACTAGAAAGTGAAGAATTTAAATAAAATTGGAAGCTCTAGATAAGATTGATATTCTACATGATGGGGATATTGGATTTAAGCATGGATTTGAAATTTTAGAGAGCTTTGCCTGAGGATCGATATTATAACCCATATTGCTTGATAATTGTTGCTTGAATCACCTTTACTCATCTGTCATCTCCTAAATTTTGTAGTCTGATCATCGTTATCGTTGATTGATTGGCGTAGTTCGATCTCTATCATCGATCACTCTATCCATTTGTCATTATGTGACCTTCATCGCCCAACTATCATCTCTTAACCACCATTATCACCCTTGTTGCGGGCTAAAATATATGTGGCGATAGAGTTAGAATTGTTAGTCTTAATATTATACGGATATCCGGCACATAAATGTGGTGGACGGTTGGAAGTTCAGCGTTAGTCGATGGTTGTGCGGAAGTCCATCGACATTAAGTGGCCGGGTGGAAGTTTGGTGACAAGAGAACTATCTTCATTCTCTTTCTTCCATGAGAAATGAGGGGTTTATTTATACTTTTTTGAGAGTGACATGACCAATAAATAGAAGAAATATCAATGGTAAGTTGGGAGTTATTTGAATGGATGGTCGATGTTGATTCCCTTGATCATGGACATTTGAATTACTTAATGATATCAAAATTCACGGATCTTAGGCTCGTTAGATTTGCCTCATCAAGCTGTTCGATTCGACTATAAGCACGTCACGTTTGGAAATCATTTCGTCATCCAATGTATGGTTTAAACATTCCAAATGTGCTTCGTGTCTTTGAATTAGATCCATTTGGGCTCATATTGAGTTGAATTTGGTGTAGTTGGGTTTGTATTTCTAAGACGTTCAGTGCGACTGTAAATTTGCTAAAATAGGAGTTCATATGGTCCCAAATTTAATTTTGAAAGTTTCCAACTTGATTTTGTCTCGAGATTCGTGTCCGATCAAGATAATTTTGTGATGATATATCAACCCTCAAATATTTCTCCAGCAATCTTTACCATAAGCATGAGAACAAATTAAGCTAGTATTTCAAACTTTGTATTCTCATCATTTTTTTATTGAGGAGAACAATAGACTTTTGTAATCTTACTTATTTCAACTCAAAGAATGAAGGTTAGTCCAATAATATCTAAAGCAAGTCAGTCTTGGTAATACCCCAAATTCATTGAGATAATTGAGATGCTTCTTGGGGTTATTATAAAAAATTTGCTCAATATTATTGAACTATTGTTTCTCCATTTATAACTATTTTGATTAAAGATAAGTTATGTAGGTCTAAAGGGGTGTAAACTACTTTTATAAATGATATGGAGTTGCTTATAGCAAAGCCAAAGACCAACTACTTCGAGGATTGTCATCATTGATTTTTAAAAGAGGAACCAAATAAATATTGATCTTTTTTGAAATAGGGTCGTATTAGGGCATCTCCAACTGAACCGAGCGTCGTTCCTCGTATCACTTGTTTGTAGTTTCCGCAAATCTCTACCTAAACGCCAAACTTAAACGCATTCTATATTTTCTCCCCGCTGTGAGCAGTGTGACGCCAATCATGATGTCGCACTATTCAAAACACAAAAATACGTTCGATTTTGCGTTTGGTTGAAGACAGACTTAGCACCTACATTAGCGTTATTATAATGACTAAACTACATTGCAGTTCCATCGATGGATGTGGTGGTCCCAGGCTTATGATGGCACAAGTAATGGTTCAATTCTATTGAAAACTATGTTTGATAATTTGCTCATAGGTGTCATCTTTTGTCAAGAGATAAAATATGATAGCCAACAACTAGTAGGTTTGCAACGATTATGAATTTCAAGCATGTTATGGGAGGTATTTATGATTTTATAACGGGAATACCTAAAGGATTGCTTGTTCTGCTGAAAAAAGGAATGCATAATAAAATGAAAAGTAGCGTAAAAGAAATGTAATACATTTTAAATGTTTAGAGTCATTTGGTTGAGAGTAAAATTAATTCATGTGATTTTTTTTAAGATTTGAAGTAAAATGAATGAAATGTAATGTCGCGACCCGGCCCGGTTAGCTCGTAGATACGAGGCAGGAATGAGATCGGACATGTAATAAGTAATTCATTATTCTTCAAGTAAAATAATACTATTCAAAGAAATCTTCACATGATAAAAAGCGCCTCTAATAACACAATTCCATAACACCACATATGTCTAACATAATGTACAAGATGGCTATATCAAAAGTTTTGACACTTACTCTGTATGCCATCCAAAAAAAATCACATAAACAAAAACTACAACTACAAGATCAATAAAAATAAGGAACCTTCACCCGGAGTACGACGCTGTAAGTGAAACCTTGGGTTTTCAGCCATCTCTTCTACTAGGTTCTCCTGAAATATTTCTCAAAACTGGGAAGTGAGCTACGCTCGCAAGTGAATAACTATAGCTAAACTTTTGTATGTCTATGATAAGAACATATTTTTTGAATAATATTCTAACATGTAGTTAGTTAAGTGTCTCTAAATGTTAATTTGTAACTATGATATGCCATTTACTTGCCTATAAATTATGATATTGTGATGCCATGATTTTTACTGTTAATGTCATATTATAACATCGTCCGGAAGTATCGAACGGTACTGATCATGGTACATTTTCTTCTTCTTTTTTTTTTTCCTTCTTTCATTGGTCATAGCATTTTCATATAATTCCATCTTGCCTCAAGGCGGTATATAACCTCTTGATACTCGTCATAACAACCACAACGATGTTACTTGCGTATAATGCAAAGAAATACATATGTAGGTTATGACCTATGGGACTTTTCATTCTATAGTACCAATTGCTAACATCAAGTAACACTTGCCATGAAATATCAATATTAATACCTTAGACCAGATGAATTAAGGAACCGAATTGCCATGAAATGCACTTTAAGTATTCTTGTATGAAATGGAAACCATTCCATTAACATTAATAAACCTTTGTTACCAATAAAGAAATACGTTGTTTTAGCAAATAGAATCACTTACCTTACACCTTCTTTGCTCTCCCTACAACAGTCTTGTCTCCTTCTACTGTTCAAGACCTAAAGCAACGTGATAAACGATTATTAGCCTCAATCCTTAACATCTAAAATCCCTACACATCATCTATACCCTCTTATACATTCATTTATTTTGTAAATAAATATTTAATCTAAAATTTTCGGATTAAAGAAAAAATGCCCAAAATTTTGACTTACATCTTTTGCCCAAATCTTTCCTTAAGCATGCTAAAACCTCCCCTTTATTTATTTAATCAATAATATTCATTTATTTTCGGATTTATATAAATTAAAATTGAAAAATATTTTTTCTCTCCAATTTGACATTAGAGGCCTCTTGAAGCCCTTAGGAACCCAATTAGGAAACATGCAACCTATAGAAACTAGGTTTGGAAAAGAACCTAAACTTCCCTAATTTTTCCATTCAATTTCACTCAAAGAAAAATCATAATTTTTATATAAAAAGGCTTCCCTTAAACTCTCCTAGTCATTGCTATAAAACATTTCATCAAAGTGAGAAACCCTAACATTCATGAACCCAACATTTAACTTAAATCTCACAATGTCTTTACGTAAAAGCTTTCTCAAGCCATTAGAAATAACATTTGTGAAGACAATTACAAAGAAAATCACTTTTAAGTAAAGCCCTAATTTTCAAAACTCATATTTTTTAAGAAAGAAGATGCACAATAGGTTTTAGAAACATCCTTTAATCATTCTCTAAATTTTCTCAAAGAAAAACCAAGTTTTCTCAAAACCCTAGAAATCTTCTCTTCCAAAAATCTTGAGAATGAGAGGGAAAATCATTGTTCTAATGCATACCTTAGCCTTCCCTTAGCCTCCCCTACAATTTTCCCCAAGGTTGGCCGCCGGAAACCGCCGCCGGAGCCGTCGCCGCTCCTACCCGCGCACTCCCTCACGGTTTCTTCCGCTCAAACCGTGCGAATGGGGGAAAGAGGGATCGGTTAGGTCATTTAGGGAGAAAGGGAATATGCCAAAAGACTTCTATGCCCTCACTTAAGTAAACTTTGCTTGAACAAACCTTAAGGGTAGAATTGACATTTCTAACTTTCCAAAATTCATAATCTTCAAAATACTCAAAATTAAATATAAGTTCTATATACCAAATTGATCGGAATTTTACGCTCAATTTTATAAAATTATTCCCGTCAAAATCCGACAACGTTGAAATTTCACTTAAAACTCGTCGCGACGCTTTGAAAAGCGTGCGAAGCCTAAAACGACGTTTTCGGGTTTTACATGTAAAGTCCAATAATGATGCTAGAGTGACGTTCCAGACATCTATAGTGAAAGGATTCATCGACAATCTTGATCAACCATCACTTTCTGCTCTCTTGCTCAGACCTGAAATTGTTAACCACATATAATGAGCTTCAAAAAGCCCAGCAGGTCACAAAAAACCTACAACTGAAATCAAAACACGGTATGGAAGCAATATGCATGCCAATCAGTCAAATCAATAACAGTCACTTGCACATGATCATTGAATCTATGCAGATACAAAAATCAGTAATCAATGCATAATCAATAGAATCCAAAATCATCAGTAGGAGAATCGGTAAACAGTAAAAAAATCCACAATGCTCAATAAATCAGTACATACGTCAAATCTCTACAGTAATCATCGTATCTATAACATCAGTCAATTCATCAAAGAAATCTTCGTATCGGCAATACCAATCAAATTCAATCAATAAAATCATCAAATACAAATACAATTGAAATCAATATATGTAATAAAATCATATTTTATATCACGTGTACATGTATCTTGTTTCGGTGTATCATACGTATCAGTGTATCACATGTATCACATGTATTAGTCAGTAATCGGTGTATCACGTGCTATAAGATCAGTACAATGAATCAGTATTGGTGAATCAGTAGTATCGGTATTGGTAGTATCAATGAATCAATGCAATATCAATATCCATGTCGGTATCTGTATTCAGTGACATGTATAATATGTAATATCAATGAAATCGTGTAGTAACAGTAAACTTGTAAATCCGTTAGTAAATCCATTTAATAGCAATAAATCAATCAAATCAATAAATCCATCAATATCGATAAATCATTAAATCCATAAAGAAATCATAAGAACAATACTTACACATGCATTCCAGTACAGTAGTCTTACTTAACAAGTACAATCACTGGCTATAAAGGCATTTTTCAAGGTTAGTATCGATTTTAGTAATCCGTTGGCTCAGTAGAGTCGTCACTCTTTGCCCGTCGGCGGCCCGTCAGCATAATCTCCTTATGACTCACAATCGTTATATCAATGATCAATAGAGGATAACACCAAACCCTTTTTAAAGGAAAGTCCGTCAGCCCACCATCATGTACATGTCAAATCAATCTCCAACCAACAGTTAAACCAGTCTTTACTTGTCTTTTAATAATATAACAATAATTTCAATCATATATCCACATTCGTAGTAATACATTGTAATCAACAAACACAATTAAACTCAAAAGAAGAGAATCCTTAAAATATCGTACAGTCGACAAAAATCCCAAACATAGTCAAAATACACAGTTTCAAAAAATCACCAAATCACCATAAATCGGATAAAACATCATTTCAAAGATTTACTTGTACTGAAGCAATATTTTTCAACATCAAGATAATTTGCTATTCGATAAAAACACATCAGAAGTCAAAATACCTGGTGAAAACTTTACAGAAAATACTCAAATCGTACAAAAACATCATATTAAAAACATACCAAAAGTTACGCGGTAAAAGTTTCGTCAATACAAAGATATGCACATTTTTCGGTAACGAAAACACAAAATCGAGCAGAAAAATACTAAAACTTGAAATCTTCGAAATCAGAAATAGGATTCGGAGTCCTTACTGCGAGGCGAACAAATCTTTCAACAGCGACGTCGGACGAAAAGCGCACCACTAGCTTCAAAACCAAGCATTCCTCTTCTCTTTCCTTCTCTTTCTCTCTCCAGCTTTTTCTCTGTCTTCCAAATGATTCAAAATATCTCAAATTCGATACTTATCAAACATGATCATCCTGGATGAATCATATTCGTCTCGGGACGATTTGCCCTTTGGACAAATCTCGTCCAGACGAATTCAGGTTTGTACGGACTAACAGCACTAAAAAAAAATGAAAATCTGAGAGGTTTTACAGCTAGTCAGGACTGGCAACGGGCAATAGCTGGTGGGGGTGACCAGCTGTTGCAAGAAGTGGCGATGGCAAGTAGGTGGCAAGCGGAGATGGTAGTAGAGTCAGCTTGTGGTATATTTCAAATTAGGCCAAAAATAGGACAAGTTTTAAATGCATAAAAAGATGAACTACAAAATGAATTTAAAATCCATCAAAATTCTATTATGCATTTCTTTTTCATCAACAAAACCCCAACATTCTTAAAACCATCGCACTTAGAATACTTTGTACTCACTCTTCATGAAACCAAATATCCCCCAACTTATTTTACAAAATAACAATTTTTTTAGTCTTTGATACACTCTCAAATCAACTTGTTTTTTTTTTCACTTTACATCCCATTTTCAGCTGCAATTATCTCATAGATAACTAAACAATATATATATGATAGTTATGGTATCTTTGAAATACGTTGAATTATGACTCGAAAGGCGGCAGAGGTTTTATGATATATTCTTGAACTAGAATTTTTTGTACTAAAAAATTGTTTTAGAAAGTATTAATAAACGCCGCCCCAAACGAAACCTTAATTTGTTAATAACAAAACTCTAATTGAGTTGTATTGTTTTGTTGGTTTATTTCAACTGAATAACTGCATGTAATTCCATTATAACTAACTTGAATAAGTGTAAATAAAACCTCCATGATTGAAACAGGGCAATCAAGATAAGTGCCCTCCACTTTTTTTTTCAAGCTCTTGTAGAACTCTGGTTATAGAATACGCAAAGGCACATAGACTAGCAAGTCAGCAACTTACAGCAAAAACATGAGAACAGAACATCAACAATGAAATATTTATTATCAAACATTCAACATAACATACATTCAAGTGCAGTTACCAATGTCTAAATCCATCAATATAAATCAGTCACAAAGAACTCTCAAATAAACCAAAAAAGATTAATTCTGTAATCCTAAACTCATCCGTTCAGTTTTCCTGTAAAAACTAGTTTTATACTGGAAGCAGTACTGAGAGGCGAGCAAGTGAAGCAAGCAGGTGCCTAATTTGTTCAATCTTTGTGGGCATGAGCCAGATATTGATTTGAATATCTGTCATCTTTTGATTCTGGATTCATTCGACGGTCATAATACTCGACCGCTGCGGCTCCGGCTAGAGCAGCCAAAGTGACTGCCTGAGCTTGCAACCTGCAAGTTTTAACTTCAGTAAGTAAAAGCATGAGCGACTTAAAAGAGGAAATTTCTTCCATTTTGATAGCAAGGATTCAAACAAGGGTCATTTGATTGATAGAAAATACAAAACAGGATTTAGATTGTTTTATTTGTATTGCTTGTGGCGAAAAAAAAAACAATTAAATTTAAAAATATATTTTTTAGTTTAAAGTTCACAGATGATTTCTAGTTTTGTCCAACAAATGATAGAATTTGACATATTTTATAAATTTTAATCTTAGAGTTAAGTTCTTCAAAAATCAAGTTGAGTTCTCAGTTATGTAAACCATCCCATTGAACAATAAGAGAATCAAACTATTGAGTCAAACAATAACAGTCTCAAATATCAACAGATAAAGCCTAAACTCCATACTTGAAATTCACAAGCTCAAGCTTAACTAGAATCTAAGGAATAAAGATATCAAATCCAACTAAAATCAAGACAAACAGCAGAAAAGAAAGAAAATGATCAGAAGGAATGGAAAGAGGGCAAATCAGATCCTATTAATAGAGAGTTCACACAGTTGAGAAAATTGATAGTTTTCTACAATAAATATGGCCGTTAAGAACTGCTGCTTAGCTTCATCTGATCGAACTTCTCTAATGGCTTCTGCAACAGCATCAATAACTATCTCAAAAATGGCCGTTAAGATGTTAAAACCACATAATTTTGGTAGATCACCATGGTTAGCAGTCTGAAAAGATTTACTGAAATTATCAGAATTAGAGATAACTTCTTCTTTAGGCATGCAGTGATTGGGAATGCACTTTAGATCTAAAAAAAAGATATATTCCAGCTACTCTAAGGTTGGAATTTTGCAGTATTGAAACCAGCCATGTGAAACGACTTAAATAAAAAAAAAGTTAAACTCTTAAACATCGAGGTATCTTTTTGGTGTAATGTTTGGAATTTCATTTAAGAAACTCCGCAGTTAAGCATGATCATCCCAGAACAATTCTGATATCGGTGACCTACTGGGAAGTTACACCAACATGACAAAATCATAAGTCTCTTAGGCCAAAGCAGACAATATCTCAATAGTTAAGAGTTTGAGCTGTTACAAGCCAAAAGGCTTGTTTGTGCTCTCTTGCCTCCAAAACCTCTCATTTTCCTCCGTTTTACTTGCTTTTCATTTTGGAAACATTTACATAAAAACTAACTTGGTTCATAATTATATGGTTCTTGGTGCTTTTCTATGAAAAATGCACCCTCATAACATGAAATACAGGAGAAAGGAAAAGGAGAAAACCTAATTATTACATCATTTGCAGGAGGAAAAATATAAGTTAGGTGTTACATAATGAGCACCATCTCTCTCCACCCCTCTCCATCAATCTTATTGCAAACTAGAATCTACTTTGTGCGACTCCTACTCAATCTTTACTCATTTATTGTCCAATATTCACCACTATAATCCTCTTACAGCATTTGAATGATTTTAGCAAAGAAGGTAAGGACTTTTTGCCCAACAAATTATCCCCCCTAACATTCAAGCTTCACAAACAAACATGAATTTCCATTAACACGACATTTACAAGAATAATTTTTAAAAAAATTATGATAACAACATGGAGAAAGCAATGACCGTACATGCACAACAAACCAAAAATACACCAAAAAGATAAAATGTGCTACAGGTATCAATGTCCAGGTTTCCATTTAAAAATACGAAAATGACATAATGGTCATCATCATTAGCCTTGTCCAGATTATTTGGAGTCGGCTAATGAATCCACACTCCATTGTTCGGCAAAATCTTTTTGCAGAATTTTTATCAATGTTGTCTTGATCTATCCTCTATGTTTCCAAATCACTAAAATGAAATCGCCTATTACCGACGGATTTTTGATGGACTAATTTCAGAGGGAGGATTACAATGAAATATTTTTGACTAATTTTTATGCAGATTTTCTAGCGGATTTGTTTCTTGCGGTATTTCCGGCGGATTTTAATAATTTCTGAAAAAAAATTTATTTTCATAATTTAATTAATAATAAATTTATAGCTCATTTTAATTAGTTATTAATTTAATAACTTAGTTTAATGAATTATTAATTTAATAACTTATCTTAATTATTAATTAAAATAATAAAATTTATTAATTATTAACTTTAATGTTTTTATTATTAAATTATTATTAAATAAATAAAATAATTTCTTTATTAATTTTTAATTTTATTATTAAATTCCAATTGTTGGTTCAAAATCCAGGATTCCCATCGGGTTGGCTAGCGTGGCAACGCGGTGAGGCAGGCGGGCAGGCATTCGTGGGTGGGCAGCGCAGGCAAGCTGGCCGGTAAGCGGGCTTGTAGGCAACAACGCGGAGTAGGCTGGCTTGGCGTGCAGCCAGCTTGTGATTTTTTTTCTTAAAGTATTCCAAACAAATATTTTAGGGTGGAAAATTTTTCGGCGGAATAATTTTTCCGATGCTCATTTTACCGAAATCCACCAAAAAAACTTTCAAAATCCGCCGGAAAAAGGGACAAATTTTCTTGGTATACTAATTACTGCAGTTGAATCTTCTACTATAATTTTCTTGGCATATCATATGGTTCATTTAACCTTTATTATATTTATCCAAACAGCTAAAGTAAGATCAATTACCTTCTCTTCAATAGAGCCTACTCTCATCATCCTTCAACCAATAAAATGGCATGAAAAAACGCATAATTCATATCATTTTATCTACGCCGTTGCAGTTTATTCTTCCTAAGCTTCCTTCCATTTTCAAGCAGGATCGAAACAAACCCATTATAAATCTATCCACAAAATCCGCCATTCACATCATAAATGAATTACTCGTTATTAAATTGATCGGAAAAATTAAACCAATTCAGACGACCAAACTTCAACAAAAAAAAAAAAAAACAGTCGAATTGCAACAAACCTAGCATGAATGATCTTGACGCTGATTTTCATGTTCGGCCGAACCAAATGTAGGCGATCGAACTCCCCGAATACCGCTTAGCCAAAATGCATCCTTTTTATCCACAAACAACAAAAAAAAACAATCAGAATCGAATGAGACAAGCATCAACGGAAATTTTTTCTTCTGAAGCTTACCCAACAGTTCGCAGCTTGTTCTCAACAACCATTTCCTTAGCGATTCCATCGTGCTCGCACCATCCCCATTGCTAATATATCGGGATAGAGAAGACACAGAAGAGAGAGATACAGAGAAAGGTACCGAGAGAGGAGATTGAAAGAAACGGGTCGCATGGGATTCAACTTATAAAGGCGATGCAGCCGATGGACGAACCCTTCAACTACGGTGAAAACAAATCATTTGGAAATTTTTTTTTTTCAAATGATTGGTCTTAAAATTTAATTATCTTATATTATATTACAAAAAACTTGTAATAATTAAGAATTTTTCAGATGATACAAAATATTTTTTTTCAGTTATTTGTTATTACGTCTTACATATCTCCCGATTTGTGTTTTTTTTTTGTCTCATTATGCCTAAAAATAGTTCTTTTTATTTCTTTGTGGACGAATATCACTTTCTTTTTCTAACTCATTTAAATGAGAAGACAAACCCTAATATATAAATATAAAAATAAATTTATATGTATAATATTTTTTATTTTATTAATAATAATAATATGTATTTTTTTTAATTAAGTGAAATTTGATCATACAAAACATCGACTTCTAATAACCCGATTAGAATAGTAGATATATTTGATCCGAATCAATATTAAGAAAATAGAAATAACCTTTCGAAAAAGGCCTTAGTTAGAAATTATTAGAAATGACATTTGTTTATTAGATTTAAATGAGAATTTAGCTCTTAATAGAATACAACTGAGAAAAAAGATTCATGTTGTTAACCCCGTATAGTTGGATAAAAACTTGTTGTTGTCAAGGTTGTGAAAATCGGATCGGACAATGAGCCAGAAAAATAAGAGGTTAGGGGTTCGATTGGAGTCGAACCAAATGACGTAATAAATATTAATTATATTTAAATATTATAATATTGACATAATTATTCGTAAATATATAATAAAAATTTTATCAAAATCATAACACGAAGCATAAAAAACATATATTAAATAAATTAAATAAATTTAAAATTAAAAACATTTCTGTTTTGAATAAGTGACCTCTTTGTAGTTATAATTTGAAAAAAAAAATAGAATTTCTCTTGAGATTTTATAATTTCTCTCCAATACGCGAAGCTCTGAAAATAAAATAAATATAAGATAATCATTATAATTATACACATAATATGAAGTAAATAAGCGAAACATATTTATACATTTCATTTGACACACCGATAATTATAGCAAAATTTTGACATTTTATACTAAATGATTAAAAAAATGCATTCATGATACAAATATGAAGTTAACAATGTTTCTCCTTTTAGTTCAATCATTCCAATAATTTTAAAAAAGAAAATCAAATATCTCGTAAATTTGATCACATGCCCACATTGAAAATCTTTGGCAAGAACCCTTTCTATTAACGTAAATCATTAAGTAAGGAGAATAAAGAGAGGATTTCTCTCATAGGTTGCAACCAATCCAATATTTGAAACTGTCAAATGGGGGGAGAAAAAACCAACAAATCCAACAAAAAATCATTCCAAGCATCACATCTAAGCTTTTATTAAGTCTAAAATTTTAGGGTTAAAAAAATTTTACATCTTACATTTAATAGAAGGAGAAGAAGCGACGATGACGCCAGATAAGAATGCTATGCATTGGGAAGGTGAGCTCGTCATCGTTGAGTTCGTGAATCACCAACGGCAATGACAGCGACAACACGGCTAGCGATTGAAGAATGGGACGTGAGCAAGCGGATTAGTGAATGAATTATAGCTGGGGTGGATTGAACACTATTTACTCATTAGGTTAGTTTCATTGAGTTTACTTGGCCGTTGAATCAAAATCAACGGCTCAAACTAGTCATTTTTCGAACTACCTGGTTCTTAAGAACCAGCGCCGGTTCTACAGTTCGCCAATCAGACCGATCGGTTGGGCGGCTTTTACCCTGTTGTAAGGGTTGACCGAACCAACCGGCTGACTAGTTAACAGTTCAACCAGTTGGACCGGCTAGTCTGATCCGATTTTTAAGACCATAGTTGTTATTATTGTTGTGAATTTTGAAGGATATCATTTTGTAAAAATTATAATTTTTAATTAAATTAGAATAATCAATTAAAAATTTGGACATGTCATTAATTTGATCTATCACTTATAAAATATACTTAAATGTTATTTTTTTTAGTTTTATTAAAATTATTAATATTTTAATATAATCAGAGTTTGAATAAAATTATAGAATAATTTATGAATAATAGACTTAATTCATCATGTTTTATTCAGTTCCTTTAAAAGCACATAAAATATAATTAATTTTGTTATTCATTAATCAAATAAGACCTCTTATGCTAGAAATACAACCTCCATCAATAATTTCAATAGAAAGATGGAGCCAATTTCGACTTGGTCACTTCTGTCGATGCATGTGGAGACACCGAACCAACCGGCTGACTAGTTAACAGTTCAACCAGTTGGACCGGCTAGTCTGATCCGATTTTTAAGACCATAGTTGTTATTATTGTTGTGAATTTTGAAGGATATCATTTTGTAAAAATTATAATTTTTTAATTAAATTAGAATAATCAATTAAAAATTTGGACATGTCATTAATTTGATCTATCACTTATAAAATATACTTAAATGTTATTTTTTTTAGTTTTATTAAAATTATTAATATTTTAATATAATCAGAGTTTGAATAAAATTATAGAATAATTTATGAATAATAGACTTAATTCATCATGTTTTATTCAGTTCCTTTAAAAGCACATAAAATATAATTAATTTTGTTATTCATTAATCAAATAAGACCTCTTATGCTGCAAATACAACCTCCATCAATAATTTCAATAGAAAGATGGAGCCAATTTCGACTTGGTCACTTCTGTCCATGAATGCGGAGACACGTGTGACTATTTGATGGTTGAGCACGTGTGATATTATAAGTTGTTAGTATAGCTGTTGCATGTTTTTCTCAGGTAGCCGATTTGATCAAATGCCGTGGGTTTTTCTGGTGGAGTTGCCGGTTGAGGGTCGTAATGGCTCACGTTTCCGGTGGGATTTGCGTCAGCGTGGACTTGCAAAAGCAAAGCAGGATTTGTTTTGTTTTTATTTAACATAAAAACATTGCCGATATTGCAAAATTCCCATTTTATAATATATGTATATAAACAAACAAAATTTATTTCAACTGAAAAAAAAGAGTATAACCAGCTAAAAAAAAAATACAAAAAAAGTTACAGAGGATGAAAGGGTTAACAACCCGTCGGGCTCAGTAATTTGGCATATGCTACCAACTCTCCCGAAGCGAGGCACGGGCCATCCAGTATGGAGTGAAGCCACGGATTCCGGGAAATGAGCCATAGCCACATCATTGCCTATAAACAAGCATTCGCCTCGGTAATTCTTAAACGTAGCTCCAGCAAACTGGCAACAACCAAATGAAATAAATAAAAAGAAAATAGAGAGCATTCCAACCAAAGAAGTCACAACCATAACAAGGAGGAGAAAAACGACAAAAGGTCCAAAGCACCAACACCAAAATCCTAATTCATTTCCTACCACACATACCCCTCCCACGAGAAGAAACAAACACAACAGACTTGTCTTTCTGCCCAGCCAAATTAACCTCAGGAACTTCATCTCCGCTATCCTCAGAACATGAATCAGACGAACAATGAATCAAATCTAATTGCATTCTCACACTCTCATCCGAGTTAGCACCCACCTGAGAAAATAAATCCTTAGATGAAATAAACTTAACGGGAACTTCAATAAGAGGGCCATGAACCATAATAGTAGGAGTCACAGGGTTAACATCAGAATCAAAAGCCTGCACATTTGAAGCCAGATTAATAGAGGACGAAGCATTAACATGACTATCACTAGCCAACGGAGACAAATCCATGGCACAAGTAGGAGAAACATGAGAGAAAGAGCGCACAAAATCGCTCGGGACAGACCTACTCCCATATGATACAGAAGGTTTCGAATTAAAGACATATTTCACAGCACCAGGCTCACTCATACACAACCGAGGGAGCTGGGAAACAGGGGCCACTCCGTCCAAACCCTCAACAGAGTCCAACTGGACTAAATTAACTAGACTAACCTCCTCACACACCATAGCATTCTCAAACGGAACAGGAGAAACAAGTTCAATAGAAACAAAAGCATGAATATTAGTATGCACAGACAATTCAATCCCAGCAGGCTCAATTCCTTCAGCCGAGGCAATAGGGGTCGCTCCCTCCAAACCCTCGATCCATAGAAATAGATGACTAACCACACGGCCAGCCGCCTCCACCGAAACAGAAGGATGATGCAAGGCAGTAGATTCAAGATTAAGATGAAGAAGCTTACACCCTGCCTTAGAATGACTCAAAGCAAGACAATGCGTACAATAGTATGGAAAAATATTTATAACCCACATATTGAACATAACCAGTGCTATTCGGGCCGATCCAAATTTGGTTTGGGTACTATTTGGACACATCCAGTTCAACTAAAACGCGAGCAACAGACGGACGTGAACCGGTAGAGGTCGCATTGTCCGTTTTCAAGGGTTTGCCAAAAATCAGACATAATTAATGAAGAATACGCGGGGCAAACAAATGAGGCAGGAGGTTAGAGAAGGAAATCCAGATGGGGATAACAAGCGATTCAATTTCAACATCCAAAGTAAGTTTTCTTATGCACGTGCATGTACCTATGCTTGCACTTGCACCCGTGTTTTCCCACATGCACTAGACCCCTCGCTCACAAGCTCGCCCGCACTCACTTGCCTCCTCGCCCACCGACGCTCGCCCCATCACCAGCGTGCTCACTGCTTTTCTGCCTTGCTGCCTTAGGGTTAACATGTCATGTCAGGTCAATCTCGGATAGGGGCTGGTCAGGTTTGGGTATAAACTTTAGACCCATTTGTCTAATTAGGTCGAGTTAAAGTAGGGTCAATCGAAGGCGTGTCAATTTCATGTTGGACCTGAAGCCAAACTAGAAACCCATTTTGACAACCCTAATTTGAAAATGCTTTCCATCAAAATTCATCCCAATGTGTAAAAGAAATGCTTATTTATATGTGTTGCGTCTAGGAGTATTCGCGGCGGTAGAGAAATATAAAGTTGATCGTCTTAGCGTTGTACGAAAATCCGGCACGCAATCAGATAATGAGAGAGGGTCTAGCATTTATGAGACACCAAGATTTTTACGTGGAAAACCCCTGTAAAAGGGGGAAAACCACGGGGCCTAGCCCAGTTTGAATGAATCCACTAGTATTTGCAGTCGATTACAAATGAGGCCCTTCATTGGGAGAATGCCATAGCTTGATGTACATCTTATGGAGTACATTACATGATGTAAATACAAAGAGCTACTATTGACGTATTTGCTTTGTTAGAAGGACTGCAGTCGGCGGGCGACGTAGGTCAGGAGGACCGTTGTCAGCTGGCGACGAAGGTCGAAAGGACTGTAGTCTGATGACGAAGATCAGTAGGATAGCGTCAGGTAGAAGTACAGCAATGGAAATAAATGCATCTTAGCATAGACGTCTAGAAGAGTCCGATAACCGGTAGAAGTCCGACGTCGGGTAAAAACTTGGCGGAGAGTGAAGGTTAGACGTCGGGTAGAAGTCCGACATCTGTTGGTGGCGGATGGGAACTCCGGCTTCACTTGGGCGGAGTTTTGGCGTTAACAGGGAACTCTGTTGTTAATTGGGAATGATTTCAGCATCACGTGGAAGTTGTGCAGAATTCCTGCTTTTCCTGAAAATCCGGCAGAGTTCCGGCGTCTTCAGGCTGCATGAAGAGCTCCGGCGGTGGTCGAGGAGGTGAGGAATCTCCTTTTCCCCTTTCTCCTCTCCTTCTTCTCACTCTTCCCTTGAGTCCCCATGGTGTAGAATGAGGGCTCTATTTATAATTTTTATGGAGTGGCATATCCCGTAAATAGGCGTGAGATCAAGGGCAAATTGGGAGTGGTTTGAATGGATGGCCGATATCGAATCCTTTGATCATGCACCGTTCGTTGGTCATTTTAAGGCCTTAATGATGTCGGAATTAGATGATCTTAGACTTGTTGAATTCGTCTCGCCGAGCCGTTCGATTTGAGTAGAAGATCGTCAAAATCGGAGACCGTTTGGTAACTCAAATTGCGGTTTGAACCTTCCAACTGCGCTTTGAACCCTTGATCCGGACTCGTTTGGGCTCGGATTGGGTTGATCTTGGTGTCGTTGGGTTCGTATTTCCGAGACGTTCAATTTGACTATAAGTTTGTTGAAATCGGAATTCGGGTGCTCCCAAAATTAATTTTTGAAGTTTTAAACTAGCTTTTGCCTCGAGATTCGTGCCCGATCAAGCCAATTTCGTGATGACGTATCAATATGCTTTTTATGTTTATTTTAATCATTTATCCCATAAATCAAAATACTCATTAAACAATGTGAAACAATTCCTCTTTATTACTTAATATTTTCTTAACATCTCAGTGTCGAACTTAAACAATGGCTATATTCACCTCAAGCATTCATTTTGACTATAAATAGACAAAAAAAGAGCGAAAATTAACCTCAATAAATTTTAATTATATTTTATAGTGTTTACTAAATTCAGGCATTCTTGACATCGTTAGTTTCCTCTCATCAAACAATACTATTGAAGCTATAACTTCACTAAACAAATTCAAATGATCACAAAATCAATTTCTAAAATTTTTATTCGAGTGCATTGATATTTGAGTCAAATTTGCCTTAGATAAAAATAAAATCTATAGTGGTGCGGTCTATATATACATAGATTATTTTGACATTAATTTACAATATATATAAGCTTCATTTGTGACGGCTTTTTTACTGCTTCTTAAAGCAGCTTTCTAGTATAAATAGTAAATTTTTGTATTAAAAAGCTGCTTTAAGAAGCAGTAAGAAAGTCGTCCCAAACAAAATCATAGTTGTTCCCGTTTTCTTACTGCTTCTTAAAGTAGATTTTTCTTGTACTAGAATACAGCTTTAAGAAGCAGTAAGAAAGCCATCCCAAATGAAGCCTTAGGACGACTTTCTTTCTACTTCTTAAATCGGCTTTTTAGTATAACAATTTTAATTTTTGTAGTAAAAAGTTGTTTTAAGAAGCAGTAAGAAAGCCGTCTCATACGAAGTCTGAATCTTCTTCTTATTGATTTCATTTAATAAATTTTTTTTCCTTAATTTGGCATATAAAAAATAGACATCCCCATATTAAAAATTTACATCCATACCTTTAAAATAATGGCACCGCCTATTTCAAGATATGTTAAAGAAAGTATGAATCACCCCTACGTAAACATAATTATTTCAAGATATGCTTAACAAAGTATGAACATTTTATCTGAAAAATATCTAATGATTCCCTCATGTGATATGTATATTCTAATTCAAGTGGCAATATTGTAATTTAAATAGATAATGAGGATTTTTTTTTTAGAGTGAGAAGTGCCATAAGTTTACATTAATGATTAGGATAATTTTCTTAAATGTGAGGAATTGGTCTGCTTCCTATAGAGATAATGCTTAGTATCTTTGAGGTCTATTATTAATTATAATTTTTTTCAAAGGGTACTGATGTAATTTTCATGTAAATCAGCCATTGATTTCAACAATTTTGCATCCACAGAAGCTAAAATATACCATTCAGACTGAAAAATAATCAGAAGAAATTACAAAATTTACCCTTACAGTAAAAAGAAATCACTAGCACAAGCTATAAGATTACCTGATTTTTATCATTACTCTCTTGGGAGAATGAAGAGATTAGATTATAGGCGGGCCGGTTGGCAGGCGGGCGGGCCCCACTTATGCTATCAAAATTTCTAGAAAATAAGAAAAAAATAGTAGCCAAATGAAAGTATAACAATAATTTGAAGAAAAAACTATTGAAAAAGCCGACCCCATCAAAAGAACCAATGAAAAAACAAAAAATAATAGGAAGAAAAGACTAAGGTTTCATTTGGGACGGCTTTCTTACTGCTTTTTAAAGCAGCTTTCTAGTACAAAATTTTTTATATTTGTGCAAGAAAGCTGTTTTTAGAAGCAGTAAGAAAGTCGTCCCAAACAAAGTCTAAGGCTCCGGTTGGAACGGGTTTTTTATTTCTTCTTTAATTTTACAGTTAAAAAAACTATTTTAAGAAGCAATAAAAAAGTCATCCCAAATGAAGTCTTTGGGATAGCTTCCTTATTGATTCTTAAAGCAGCTGTAGCTTAAATGCCAAGAGCTAACAATATCAACACAGTTAGAGGCCTAATCTTCTGAATCACCACCACCAAAGACACGATAGTAAAGGAGAAGAAGAACAATAAGGAGAACAATCACAATTCCAGTCGACGGCCCAGCGAATTGAGAGAGCACATCGGGTGAACCTGATAAGAATCTGGAGAATTGGACTCCTGGATTTGACGACAAGAACTGGATGAAGATAAGCAGACTAACTGGAAGGAAAAGAAGACCGATTGGCCCAAAGAACCCCTCCATGAACTCCCTTGCAGTCTCCCCACCATCCACCAAGAGCAAGGGGCTTATCACCACCATGCCTGCTACTACTGCCAGCAGCACAGTCTCCACACCATCATTGCCTCGCCAAACCATTAGAGAGAGAGAGCTTGAAGTTAACTAGGAGAAGGGGGAGGAAGAAGCAACGAAGACTTCGGAGCTTGAAGTTTCCTGTTTTTGTAAGGTTTTGTTGAATGGGAGTGAGGTGGCAAAGGAATATTATATATTGTAAATGGTTGATGAGCTTTGATTTGAGATTGGCGCCTATTAAAGAATGTGATCTTTTTGACTTTTGTTGGAAGGAAAATATATATGGAAGGTTCATCCATGGAATAGGTCTATGATAGGTGTTAGCTAAGATGGAAGGTTTGGGCTTTGTTTAATATAATTGTATTGATGTTTTTGTAATGTTATGTAAAATGGAAATTATTTTATACTTCCACTACATACTACTTTATAATTCTTTAGATGCATGAGAAAAATAAGTTTTCAAAGTATATTTTATTATGTAAATCAAAGTTACACGAGGACTTTTATGAAATAAAATATAAAATTGGTTCATAAAACCAGAGCTTGCAAGAGGAATAATGTATTTTACTAATTTTGAGTCGTAAATAATATATACTCGTGTATGCTTTTATAAGTATCTAATTGGTGGGTCATGACAGAAGAACTCGCTCTCCTAAGGGTCCACTTAGGGAATTTGCTTGGGGCTCATGAAAGAAGTATCCTGAATCAATCAGCATATATCACTCGTCTAGACCATCCCTGAAGCTCACCTCGTACTAAGCAAATTGAGGATTACTCTCTAGAATTGGCAGCTTGGCACTTGCCACATGCCTGGACCATCTCTCTCTCTCTCTCTCTCTCTCTCTCTCTCTCTCTCTCTCTCCAAAGATTTTCACCAAACTTAGCTACATTAAGGCGCTTGTTTATAGGACCCTTAGGTCTACTCGCCGCAATCATCTAAGCTAGAGCTCTCCCTTCAGAGCATTTCACTCTTCTCTCTCTACTCAAGTGGTCCTAGAGCTCCCATATAAGTTGATGGCCACATAACCCACTCGCCAACTCCCGATCCCATCTCACATTTGCACTCGCCCAAACAGAGTCACCCTTATCCACTCAATACTATTGGACTCCCTCCAAAGCAATTCGTCAAAGCATTTTGACCTCACCCTCCTTTTGCCAATCAGGAGGTAATACAAGTTTAGGATAATATGTAGTGTTGTATTTTTTTACTTTTACTCGTATACTGATCTTTAATGTAACCACATAACTCATAAATTAGAGATGATGACGAACAATTTGGGACCTTATGCTAAACTTTTGATTGATACAGTGGATACTCTACCCGTTTAGAGACTCATAATTTTTTTAGTATTCTAAACCTCTCCCCTCTCTCTCCATTCTCTCATAGTTTTTTTAATAATTTTTTTTTGTAAATATGAATAAGCTGAGCAAACTCGCTTTTTTAATAATTGAACCAAATAAAGAACTAAAATTCACTACATTTATCTCTTTGATTATTGAAAAAATATTTTTAAAAAACTTAGTTAAATATTAATAATTAAATCCAAATTGTTTTTAATGATCAAGCTGGCATTCTTAAAACTTACCTTTGTTCCGTCGATGAGTTGCAACTATTGTTAAGCATTAATGCGTTCATTTAATGATTATTCATTTGCCATAATAAAATAATAATGGAGCAAAATGCGAGATCGAATTAATTCTCTAAGTTTAAAAAATATAAATTAGGATAATTGTAACATATATTTAATATATTTAAATTTATATTATATTCATTTTTAATAAATTTAATGACTTTAAATTTAAATTTATCATAATTAGATTTGTATCAGATTATTTATTTTTCTGACTTCAAAATTTTTTTTATTTTACATTCTATTATTTGCGAGTAACTATATTTTTTGCTTTACAAAAACAAAAAAAAAATCCCAAAAAAAAACTATATTTTTTGCCAGTCAGCCGCAGTCTGCGGACGCTGCCCTGTCATCAGAGAGAGAGAGAGAGAGAGAGAGAGACGGAAAGCTTTGAATCTGATCCTGATCACAGGGAAAACCAGTCAAGGTTGCACCTTTCGCTGGTTCTCCAATTACAGCCTTTCTTCTCAAGCAAATCCACCCAGTTTTAGCTTTCCAATTCCCTAATTCCGATTCAAGGCACCTCCAAATCCCCAAACCAAAATCTCTTTTTTTTTTTCTTCCACAGCGCAATCCTCCATTTCCTGATCCACTGCATTTCCAACAACCTCCAGTCATTCGAACCCTAGTTCCATCCCATCATCCTCTTATCTCCACCAACAATGGTGACTACTCCTACCACCAACACCGCCAATACCACCGACAACTTCTCGCTTTTACCTGATGACACAGTACTCGACATCCTTACCCGCTTAATCTCCGACCCCCGTGACTGGTCCCGCCTCTCTTGCGTCTCTTCCCGCTTCTCGAACCTCATCCGCTCCATCTGCTGCCGCTCGTGGTGCTGCCACTTCATCCCCAACCTTGCCGCTGATCTCTCCATCGTCCGCCACGTCCCCGGCGGCTGGGCTGCCCTCCGAAAGCTCTCTATCTGCTGCCCTGGCCTCCACCACGCCGGGGTTCTCCTAGATGAATACCCTAATCCCAAGTGTAGCCGCCGCCCCATTTGGGAACCTCATTTCGCCTCGGCGCAACGGGGATTTAGCAGGGAGGAGGGGAGCAAGTTGCTGGCAAGTCGGTTTCGGGGTGATTGCCTTTATGTTAGCCAGTGGCCGGGGTGTGTTCATGCCGAGACTAGGCGGAAGTACTTGTTGTTCAGGGGTGTGTTTAAGGATTTTAAGGATACTTCGGTGTGGAAGGCGGTGAGGGATGCTAAGAAGAGTAAGATTGAGGCAAAATGTGCTTTTTGTGATGGAAAAGAGACTTGGGATTTGCATTCTGCATTTTGTTTGAGGAGGGGTTTGGATTTTCATCAAGGGGAGCCGGTTGTTCGAGCTTTTGTGTGTGAGAATGGTCATGTTTCAGGTGCTTGGGTTGAGAAGCCAATGTATTTGTAAGTAATTGGTGTCTGTTGTCTTCTTTGGATTTGGAATTCAGCTGGTATGAATGGTTATGAACTATTAATGGGATTTTGTTTGTTGTTCTTTCCCTGTTTTTTGTATATTTTAATAAGCAATGAAGTTCTTTGATGTCTCGCTTTCTGCTTATTATCCTTGATTCACCATAAATTTCCTGAAAAAGAAAAAAAGTTTATGATGCAGACTTGATGAAAATTCAAACCTCTCTATGTTTTATGCTATAATTTGGCTTCCTTGCCGTGGGAATTCAGCTGGGAGAAGGGAATAAAGCTATTGCTAGCCGTATTTACAGCGATTGCCTGTACATTAGGAAATGACCAGGGCGTGCTCGTGCCAAGATAAGTAGGAAGTAATTTCATTTTCAGGGAGTTTTCAACGATTCAAGTCTTCTGTGGAGCAGGCAGTAACTTTGGATTTGGAGTTGAGGCAACATGCGTGCTATTTTGTAATAGCAAAGAAACTTTGAATTTGTATTCAGCATTTTGCTTGAGGAATTTGAATTTGCATCAATGGAAGCCTAAATTTCAAGCTTTTGTGTTTGAGAATGGTCATGTTTTAGGAAAGTGGATTGAGAAGCTGATGCATTTGTAAAGACTGGGGTTATATTGTCTTCTTTGGTGTTGGAATTCAGTTGGTATGAATTTTTAATTAGAATATGAACTATTATTGATTATTTTGTGTCATTTTCTGATATTTTATACATTGTAATAAGCAAAACACTTTAAGGTCACTGCTTTCTATATATATATATATATATATATATATATATATTAATTTTCCTAACATGAATATTTTATGCTAGACATAATAATTTTACTGTTTGTTTGTGTTCAATGTTTTAATAACCTGTGTTCATTTACTATATGTTAGTAACACAAGCCAATCCAGAGTTCTTCCTGTGATATGTTAAGGCTTCATTTACTAGAAAGCTGTTGTAAGAAGTAGTAAAAAAGCCGTTACAAACGAAGCTAAGTCTCTGGTGGTCATGATGTTGAATAATTTTTGTGTTGCTTGCAAGCTAAAAGATTGTACCATATGCATGATACCCATGGCCCATGGGCTATTTATATGATATGAACATACTACTTCCATACCACAGTGCAGGCAATGTAGTCATTGCTCAGGATTTGTAAGTTCCTCTTTGTGTCACTTTTGTATGTATACCAGTTGGAAGATTACTAAATATTTTCTTTTTCCTTGTTTCACAGAATACAACTGGACATGCTGCATTGTTCTGATCGTGTGAAGTCATTTAATTGCATTTCCATAATTGTCGGGTCAGAGAATTTTTCATGTAAGTGGTATGATCATCTTCTTTATTGAGCATAGTGAATTTGTCATATTTGATAGTAAAACCAACATGCAAATTTTAAATGATTGTGAGCTTGGATGTTTGACTTGAGTTGCAACATATAAAAGTAGGAAGGTTTGTTTTGATGGATTGTCCCATCTGCATAACGAATTTTGCATAACAATTGAGATTTTAGTTTGCTCAAATGTGACAAGCAAAGATTAATTATAAGAAAGAGTCTTGATTGTTCAGCTGGCATGTTAATTTGACCATAATATACAAAAGTTAAGATGTTGGAATATTACCTTAGGCTAGGTTTTTGTTTTTGTTTTGTTTTGTTTTGAGTATTGATGTCGATGACACATGTTGAAAGGCTGAAGGGCCTTGTGGGATCGGTGGATGGGGCTAGTGTGTAATCCTAGGAAAGAATGAAGAGGCCATGGATGCCTTGTCCAAACAAGGAAAAATCTCTCACATGGATATGTGCAATAAAGGAAAGAAGACGGCATTGGATTGCTTACATTATGATGATTGGTGCTATCAAACAAGCCCTAAATGGGGTAGATAGTTGTTGGATTTCTTTTTAAAATTATTAAATTCAGTTTTTTCCAATTATTTTTTTATATAGTTTTGTGTATAAATATTCATTGAAGGAATAGACAAAATCAAGCTTTCAAGTCACTTCTCTTTTTGCATGGCATGAGAGCAATGCTAGGTTCCTCTTTTCCAAGCTTTGTTCTTTCTCTTTTTCATTCTTAATTATCTTTATTATGTCCAATTTCTTTCCCTAAGGAGTTAATAATCATAAATAGTGAAAGTAATGCTAGAGAAAACTTCATTAGAATTCAAGAAGATGTTGAAGAAGAAGTCTATATGAATAATCCATCAGAATTCAACAGCTCTTTCATATGAAACAAGGTGTGCAGATTAAAAACGAGCATGCATGAATTTAAACAATCTCCAAAAGCATAGCTTGATAGATTCATAAAAATCATGATTAAGTAGGATACAAACAAACTCAAGGAGGTCTTATATTGTTCACAAGATGATCCACCAATGAAAATTTTTAAATTATTATTGTATATATTGATTATTACATGTGATGAAAATAAATAAAATGAGTTGATTTGAAAAAAAAAATCTTACTATAGAATTTGATATCAAAGAGTTAAGAAAACTCAAATACTTTCTATCTTCCTAAGTATAGAAGTTGCTCAATCATAATAAGAAGTTTTTCTCTCAACAAAAATATATCACGGATGTACTAAGACAAACAAAAATAATTGATTGTAAGTTTTGCGAAAAGCCAACTGAATCAGGTTTGAAAATGGACAATGATGAAGAAGGAATAGAAGTGGACACAGCACAATGAGAAAGATTCATTGAAAACTAATTTGTTTATATCATACTCGTCCTTACATCACCTTTATAACAAATATAATAAGTCAATTTATGCATAACTCAAAGAATCTCTATGCAGGACATATATGAGATTACGACTTAGATAAGGATTTTGCATGCTTAATGACTAAGAGCAAGTTAATTAAATATTTATGGTGATTTAAACAATGAAATAAAACACAAAGAGCGGTAAACACAAACTTAGACCAAGTCACTTGCAAAAAGTAAAAAAAACCACAAAACAATCAATTACTCTTGACGTTGCATCCAAGATAAGTTTCAACAAGAAATTCCTAATCTAACAATAAGAGCAGTGTTATGAAAGATATCTCACACAAGTCTCCTAAACACTAAGCTTTAGCGGAGCGTTGCAAGATTTTACATGAATCAATCAAAACCACAAGTAAGGATCAATGAGGAAGGTAAGAGAGAAGGAAAAAGTTCACCTTTGCCAAGATTAAACCTTCCCACAAGCTTGGACAGCATTTGGTGGCTGCAGGAACCCTTGGACAGCACACTTCTATGTCCCGAAAACTTCGGGCAGCGAGTGGGGACTTCTCCCAGCAGTTGGACAGCTGGAGTCTCTGGACAGCACTTGAATTGGGGTTGACAGCAGGTGGGAACCAATCTGGACAGCAGTTTCGCTGAGTTAGGGAATTCTGGACAGCAAGGAAGACCTCTCGGAGATGCAGGGCAACAAGGTTGACTTGCTGTAATCGTTGGACAGCAGTTATGAAAATTCCCAAGTGAAGAAGTCTTGTGGAAAAGGCTTCTGAAAGCGGCGGCTAGGGCTGCTACAAGTTTTATTAAACCTGAGAATAAATTTCAGATTTAATTAGGAATGAGCCCAGGTTTGTAATTTGAATTTAAGGTATTGGGAGGGAAGGAAAACTTATTCCTAATTGAGAGGTTGATTGGAGTAATTAGTGGGAGGTGATTTAATGTGGTGAGAGAATAATGTGGGGGATCGTCGTTGGATCGTTGGAAGAAGAGGATACTTGAATGATTTTTCAAGAACAAGAGAGAAAACCAAGCACTAAGCTTCAATTCATATAATATTCATCATGCCCTCATTCCTCTTTTACAATCTATATATAATAAGCAAGTAAGAACCTAGAGACACCTAGAAGATTCTAGAAAATAGGCAACAACTTGTAACAAGCTAGATAAGATATTCCTAAGGTATACTTTAATTATGATGTTTCACATCAGAGAAAGAGGGGGGAAAGGGCCGGCCTTGGGAGAGAGAGGGTGGGGAGATTGTGTCCAATGAATGTGGACCATGACATTAATTGCAATTGAGAATTAAATCTGAGATTTAATCTCAGATTTGGTGTGATAGGAGTTCTTTCCTAAAGGAAGTAGACTTAATTAGAAGGCTTTTGAAATACAAATTATTTTGAATTTGAATTCAAATTCTTTCCAAAATTACAAGGGACCAATTATGGAAAGTATTAATGGGAGTTTTAAATGGGGATCTAAGGGGAAGGGGAAAGTGGCGGCCCGCGGATTGGTCTTGGGTGGAGGGTCTAGTGGCTTGAGGTGGTGGAGGAGGGTGGCTCTAGGGAAAGAAGGGGACGGGTGGGCTTGGCCGACGACTTTGGGGAAGGACTAGTCCGGCGGTGGAGGGAGGCAAGGATGGGGAGTTGGCCAAGAGGGGAGGGAGGAGGGGAAGAGCCGGCGGCTTATGGGTGGGAGGGCTTAGGCCGGCGACAAGAAAGGGGATGAGTGAGAAACGAAGAACTAAGAGAAGAGAGAACCAAAAACCTGGACGCTTCCGAGGTTTCAGGTTTGTGTGTGATATGTTTTCCCTCTCCTAGGGATTTCTCCAAAGCTCTCAAAACTCTCACATCAAGAGAACAATATGCAGGAATTTTCTTTCATTATCATCATTAGTCCTCTCCCAAGAAGAGGAGGGACTTAAAGTCCAATATATGAAGGAGAATACAAAAGACAACATTGTCCCTAGGGCTTGCAAATAACTAATCCTTCAGGTGAGGGAATAAATGAAAAATTACATAAATAAATCAAAATACATAAAATAACTCAAAAATAAATCGACGCGATCGTGGCTGTAGATCGTTGGCCCCGCCTCGAGTAGACTTTTCATGGCCTGATGCCCTCATCAATCTCATGTTTAAGTTACTTGTAGAATTCTCAAGCACCTTAAATCAAATCCTTGGAAAGGAATTCTCTACAGAAGAGCATGATACCCTATAAATTGAAGGTTATATTTATGTTGACTATTAGGGGTCACTGATGGATCTAAGATCCACTTCAGGATATTGTAAACTTATGAGATGAAACCTTATAACATGGAAGAGCAATAAATATGTTGTTTCAATGTCTAGTGCCAAATCTGACTTCAGAACAATTGCTCAAGGTATTTGTGAGCTTTTGTGAGTTAACATTATCTTAGAAGATTTGGAAATCATCTGAGAAGAGCTTATAAAAATATAATGTAAGAATAAATTTCTCATCAACATTGTTCACAATCTTGTATAGCATGTTCAAACCAAACATGTGCAAGTGGATGGACATTCATAGAAGAGAATTTGGAAAGTGGTTTGATTTGCACTTTACATATTCATTAAAGAACTCTGCAACCCTACGACCTTGATATATGCTTAAAAAATATTATAAGCAAATTTGGGATGTTATTTAATGTAATTGTTTGATAGATGGATGAAATTGAATTCCTATTTTTGGATCTCATATTCATGAGTTTTAGAAGTCTTTTTATTGTGAGTGCTTGGAAGTCAGTTTTCAGTGTTCTTTTTTTTAGGTGCATATAGTAACGATAAAATAACGCAGCATAGCAAACTGGGTTAAAATTTTACTTTTGCTGATAAAAATAATAATGAAATAATATGAAATTAATTGAACTGCTTATAAAATTATAAAAATGAAAATCCCTATAGTTTAAATAAACAAAGGAATTGAATGAGTTCCAGCACAAGGGAAAACATCAGTTAAACCAACTTCAATAAAACTTAGGCTTCGTTTGGTATAGCTTTCTTATTGCTTTCTAAAGTAGTTTTTTTGTACGAAAACAAATTGCTTTAAGAATCAATAAGAAAGCCATCCCAAATGAAGCCTTAGTCTTGAAACACAAGACCAACTACTTTTAGATACTTATTTTGCAATAGATTGACCGTAATGCTTGTGCCTAAGTTGCACTGAGACGATATTCCGGACCTTAGTGGTTCTATCTTTTTGTTGGAAATTGGAGATTGATAGTTTGGTAGCTATTATTGTATCTTGTAGATTATTGATGAATTATACAACTAAACGTATGAACTTAGAAGGCTATAAGCACTTATTTCAAGTGGGAGTCGATAGTAAGAGAGTTAATTCGCAGGAACAAATTTATCACATCCTGTATATTATTTAAAAGCTTATGATTTGACTAAGTGGTTGTCATGTGATGAAATTTATTTTTTAGGATTTCAAAAGGTTTGAAGATTGCAAAATTATGTTACATGATTCCAAGTTAACCTGGTTGTGGCTCACCCTATCTATTCATGAACAGAAACAAGCGAGTAATCTGATAAAGTTTAACAGGTTTGCATTGAATGAAGCAGTTGGGAAAAGAAACTTGAGAGTTAAGAAATTAAAAGCTCCTGCATTGAAGCAAGATGGGTTATTTAGTTGTTAAAAAAATTAAAAAATGGTTGTCAGTGGTTGGAATAAATGATATATAATGTTATTGAATTAAATCATGGACGAAGGTTTCAAGTTTCATTTCAGGTTTTAATTTAGGTATAGTTAAGAGTACTCTTGTTTTCAGCAGTTCTGTTGATATGGGTAGGTGTTCAGTTTTACTTGTAATTTTGGAGAATAGAAATTATTCTGTGCATAATTCGGACGGAAAGAACCGTCTGGACCGTGAGTGTACACAGTTTGGTACACAGTGTGTATATAAATTTGGTACGCACTATGTACAAATATGTACCCAGTGTGTATACTCATATGTCCGGACAGTTCTTCATGTATGGTCTCTACACAAATAATTTCTCATTTTGACCCTTTTTTTCTCTAGTAAGCAGTTAATGGCTCATTTACGTAGTGCATTCGGTTTAAAACAAAATTATTGTAGAAGTATAAGTCAGTACAAATAGGAAAGATGGATTGAAATTTGATTATTTTAGAAAGCGATGGGGGTAGCGGTAGTATCTATATATTAAAAACATACAACCATAATAAGCCTTTTATCTAACTAGTATCTATTAAAAATATTGTAGTTGAAAATAAATTTTGATGTTAGGCCTTTATCTAATGAGCCTATAAGTGAAAAGGTTGGAGTAGCTCTAGTGGCAGATAAGATTAGAGAGAGTTGGCATAGATGGTTTGGACGTATAAAACGTCAACCGTCCGATGATCTGATTAGGAGATTAGATGTTTGCCTATGTTAAAAAAGATAGATGTTACTACTACCACTGACAATACAAAATTATAATTTTTTTTTAAAAAATTTAAACGAGAATTTGACTTTTAACGGAACACAATGGAGAAAAAAGATTAATGTAGCCAACCCCATGTAGTGGAATAATGGCTTAATATTGTTGTTGTTGTTGTTGTTGGGCTTGTATTGTCAGTGGTAGAAGTATCATTAAGACAAGTAGACAAATCAACATAAAAAGATTGAGAAAGATATGATATAACAGAAGTTTTGTACAAAAATAGAAAAACCTTGTGTTGCACTCACTCATAAAAAAGAACAGTAAAAGAACAGCGGATATTCATGCCGGACGGTTCTTGAATATTTCATGCGTTTTTATTTGAGTATTTGTAAAAGCACAGCAAAAGGACAATAAAAGCACATTCATAATTGAATATTTGCTGATCTTTTATTATCTTTTTCAAAAGCGCAACAAAAATGTAATAAAAGGACAACAAATTCGGATGATTCTCTTCCGTCCGGTGTCAGCACAAAATAATTTCTCGAGTTAGTGAGGATTCTCACCAACTCACTACTATCCGTGGCAGATCATACGGTGCACAAAATGCCCTTCTGAGAGGAGAAAAGTAGGACTGCGAAGATGGAAGCCTAAGAACTTCCCATTGCCTCTCTCCACTGCTCCACATATAATCAAAAACCAATGAATGGCATCATGTAGGTGTGCTCTTGTCACTGTTGAGCTGGGTGGGTGGCGTGCCCAACCACCAAATGGTTGGTGGGACATGTTGGTTGTGTCTCGCTAGCTGGATGTTTGCAGATAGCCTCCTTGCTGAAAAATTATTTCGTGTGGACACTGAACATTATTTGGAAGTGAATCAGAGCGCGTCACATCAAACTTTTACTATGTACCGCAGCTGATACTTGTTGTATACCGGTGTCCGCACAGAATAATTTCTCCTCGCCATGATCTACTGGGGCCGATAGGCGGTTATTTGTTCAGAACAGGTTGGTAGTAAGAAGGATGCTAGCTTTTTTGTTATCGTCTTGAGTTGCATAGTCGACTCTTTGCTTGGAGAGATTATTGGGTTCGGACACCTGACACAACTTACGTTCGGTATTCATAGTATTGAGCAATACTGAGTTCGATATTGTGAAATACTGAGTACCGATCAGTACCATGCTCGGTACTGTTCAGTACCGAGCTCAGTACCAAGTGGTAGGTGATGTGGCATATTTTCATTGGGCTCTGAACACGTAAGGTGTTCGAACCCAATAATTTGCCCTAAGCTTGAGTCTAGTCCTGGTGCTACTAGTTCGATACTTTTGGGCACAAGTTTGGAAAGATTGACTGACACACATGAATTCGATCAAACGGTCATTATGTCTTAAAAAAAGGGCCTAATCTACGACTCACATCAACCAAAACATATTTGTTTCAGCAAATTCCATGGTTAAATTAGAAGCAGAATGACCTAAACAAAGTGGCTGAGTTTGTTGGAAAAGCAATGCTGTGTAGCTAGATAAGGAATTCATTTGAATTTATTTTGTGGAATGTTTACAAAAACTGTTAAATGAACTGAATCTCATAGATCTTAATTTACATTAATTTTTAGGCTTTATTTGGGATAGCATTTTTACTACATTCTAAAACAATTTTTTAATACAAAATTTTTTAATTCATAAAAATTTTATACTAAAAAATTATCTTAAAAAACAGCAAAAAAATTGTCTCAAATAAAATCTTAATCTATTCAATTAAGCTGTCCTGATTTATATTAAGTAAAATTTCATTTATGATAATTTTATTATTACTTATTAAAATAATTTTTTTAATAAAAATAAAAAAAAAAACATTTCTAATATTTATTAATCAAGCAAACAACCTTTTAAAAATAGATGACAATGATAGCAACTGCTACATTTCATTAAAAGAATAAAACTAGCATAAATTTTAAATATTAAATAATATAATTTTGAATAAATCGCAGAGAAAATTATCCTAAAATTTTACTATTAACGATTTTTTTTTTTAATTATTCTTGCATCAATTAAATCTATTTTTGAATTTTAGTAGCTAACTTTCTTATATAAAATACAGTTTTTACATTTTTATCCCCTCCTAAAATTATTAATTCCTTAAAATAACTATCATTAACAGCTAAATACCACTTTTATATTATTATATTTACTAATGATTGGATAATTTTTCATAATCAAATGACGCTAATTGAGATTAAAAAGTAAACAAACTTGCAAAATTACTAACAGCATCACCATTGCCAATAAGATCATATTAGATGCCATTGTAAAACTACTTGCAATTTCAACCCAGAAAGCTGAACAAGCTCTTCTCTAACACCAAATGCCATTAAAATTTACAAAAAAAAAAAAAAAAACGCAAGGGCTCAGGATCAATTTTCATTGCAAAAAATAAAAAAACATGGAAAATTTTTTTTTGGATCACCAAGAAATGATTATTTTAAGTTTCAGCTAGCCCCTCTTCACATACAAATGTGATTTAAATTTACAAAACAAGCAAAAAAATTAGCTGCTAAAAGGGTCACTTGCAAATCAGGCTTTCAAATATAAGGCCTCGCTCGATTTGGAGCATAAGGTGGTGGGTTCTCAGTTCTTGCCTGAGCTATTTGCCTTTCAGAAGAAGAATTTCTGCGTCGAAAATGGGTCCAGTTGCCAGATTCCATTGAACCTGTTGTATGTGATGTAGATGTAAATGGCATGAATTGAACTCCTGATCTTCGGAACTGGGCTCCAGTGTTCAGCATATCTCCTACGCTGCTGTTAAATGAAACTGGGAGAGGGTACATGTACAAGCCGAATTGATTTGAGGGAGGCCAATGTGATCGGCCGGCGAAGGGTAGATCTGTAGAGTTTCCTGATCGCCATGGATCGGCGGATATGTTTGCTTGTCGATGGAGTTCCGGTGTTTGCGAAGGAGCTCGGGTGCTGGTGCTAAGATGTGGAAGACCAGGTGCAGTTTGGGAGCTGTGACAGGTATGAAAAACACCAGTTAAGGCAAGCCTTAAGGTGGTTGACTGTTAGGAAACAGCAGTTTTTCTCGAAACTGAGTGAGAAAATCAGGAAGAAAACACTTGAAATTCAATGGTAGAATTGAAAAGAAACAACCCAATAGAATGAATCTTCAATTCGAAAGGAAGATTTAACTCTTCAAATCTCTAGCCAAAGCCTAGAGCCCAAAAAGCAAAACCCGGATCTCAAATTCAGCCTCCAAATTCAAGATAATCCTAACCCTAGCAAGAAGAAAGGATAATTACTAATTCCCTAAACAGTCCTTAATTTCAAATTTTTTCCTCCAACCCATTATTACTAATTAGTGTGTGGGCCCCACACACCAGCCTCCACCCTCTTCTCTCTCTCTTTCCCTGGTTCCACCCGACCCTTGGCCCGCCTATGATAGACCTGAACCGGTCCTCCTTGGGCAAGGCCTATATTGCCTTCTCTGAAGTTTAAGTCTTGAAAGTAAAGCTGATGGAGAGAGGGAAAAGGAAAACTTCATGCGCATTATTTGGACCGACCATGCACAAAAATAATTTCATTCATTCAATCCATGTACATGCAATCCCATCCATCCCAACAAAATTTCAGTTTAAAGCTAACCCGATATAAGAAAACAACTAATAAAACGATTTAAATTATATTAAAAAAAGTCCACATGGCTGGAAAATGGGTCTGATTGAGATCTGGTTTGGCATAACGGCTTCTGGTAATTAGCCTACTTTGTGGTTTGTTTTAAACTGAAGGCCTATACTAATAAAAAACAGACCAATTGCGTGCAATGTGATTCAAATTTTCTAACGCAATACTGTATGCTTTTGCCTGGAGGGGAGCTTCGATTACATGTTTTAAAACACATTAAATGTACGACACCCTTGTATACTGCCTATAGAGGCTACAATTTCTGCTAGCTATAGTTAACTTGATCTTTCCCAACCATAGTTAATTCTTATATTGTTAAATAAAAACTTTATAGTTGCAACATTCTGTAGAAGTATCAATAGCAGATTTTGGTATAGTTTTCAATTCATCATTGTAATTACTATTGTCTGATAGAGAGAGTGTATATAAGTATGAGGAAGAGTATTCTAGATGTCCATGTGTGAGTGTGTGATAGGCTTGTGCTATTATGAGATGGAGGAATAACCGTCCTTGGCAAAGTGCTGTTGTTATTCCACCTCAAGCTAACGAAAAATTATTCTGTGCAAACACCAAACAACATTTGAAGACCAACCAAAACGTGCCACGTCACTTTTTTGCTCGGTACTGGTGTTTGGTACCGTTGTGTACCAGGTGACATGGCTCGTTTTGGTTGGTCTCCGGGCCATCCGGTGTCCACATAGAATAATTTATCCAAGCTAACGATCCTGGTTGGATAGTGGACTTGTTTCACAGTTGTTGAAATCTAGGAGTTGAGGGCGGCTTTATGAGAATGTCGACGAGCTGATCCTGTGTATTGACCGGAGTAATACAAATCATTTGAGAGTGAATGTGATCCCGGATGAAGTGTTGATCTATCTCGACATGTTTGGTTCTGGTGTGAAACACTAGGTTGTTGGCAAGAGCTATAGCTGACGTGTTGACACACCAGAGTTCAGTTGGTTGTGGAAGATGAATCTAAAAGTCTTTGAGTAGCTTGCGAAGCTAGATGATGTTCGCAGTGGATGCAATTAATGTCTTGTAATCCACCTCAGTTGAAGAACGAGCTACTGTGTGTTGCTTTTTGACACTCCAAGAGAGAAGAGTATTGCCAAGAAATGAGCAGTACCCGGATGTGGAGCGACGAATTTGCTTGTCGCTGGCCCAGTCAGCGTCCGAGAATGACTGAAGAATAAGTGGTCCATTAGAGATAGGAGTCCATATTGTGAAGCCCCTTTAATGAACCGCAGCAATTTTTTTAGCATGTAGACATGATCAGATGAGGGATTATGCATGTACTGGCAAAGCAAATTTACAATATAAGCAGTATCAGTCCGGTAATCATCAGGTACTGTAAGGAGCCAATAATTTTCCTGTAAGAGTGAGGATCATATAGCAGAGGGTGGGTTTGGGATAAGATTTTGGTGCGTGTTGGGTTGGAGAGGGGTTTGCACAAGAGAAGGCCAATGCTTTGTAGGATAGAGCATGCGTATGAGGACTGAGACATGAAGGAGTCAATGGATTGGGTAATTTGAATGCCCAAGAAATTTGTGATTGTCCTGAGATGCTTCAAAGCAAACTGCTGATTGGGCTGTTAAAGAATGTGAGATATCATAGTGGGATTGTCACCGGTAAGTAGAATATCATCAACGTGGATAAGGAGGTATAGTTGAGTGTCATTTTTGTGGAATGTGAGAAGAGATGAATAAGCTTTGCCATGTTCAAACCCAAGTGTTTTGAGGTGGCTAGAAAACAGCTTAAACCATTGGCGCGATGCTTGTTTTAGGCCATATATAGCTTTGCGAAGGAGGCACACATGATTAGGTTGAAGCGTGTCCTCACACCCTTTGGGTTAAAGTAAGAGATTGATGAGCAGCCGAGATAGTCAGTGATGGAACTTGTAGGGAGATGTTGTCTGAATGGGGTAAGGTGGAGATTGGTGTATGGGGTGTAATGGGTAATGTGGGGAAAGTTTGAAGAGTAGCTTGGGATGTAGGAGGCATGGAGTTGAGGAAGGCTGTTTGGGTGGTTGTTGTTGTTGTTGAGTTGGAGATGAAGTGTGAAATGAAAAGCTATTCTCATCAAATGTTACATGACGAGAAACATAAATGTGATATGTATGAGGAACGAGGCCTTTATAGCCATTTGAGGCGGATGATTAACCAATGAAGATGCAGGGCACTGATTTGGGAGCAAGCTTGTGGTGCTGATTTGGTGGCATCCAGGAAAAACAGGAACAACCAAAAGCTTTTAAAATCGAGCAATTGCCTGTGTGGTATAGAAATCGAAGAGGAGATTTGGAGTTTGTGGTCCTGGATGGCATCGAAGAGGAGATTTGGAGTTTGTGGTCCTGGATGGCATCCCATTAATGAGAAAGGATGCCGTGAGGACTGCTTCTGGCTAGATTAATAAGGGAGGTGGAATGCAACAGGGAACGAGTGGTTTCAATGAGGTGGAGATGCTTTCTCTCGGCTAGACTGTTTTGTTATGAGGTGTAGGCACATGATATTTAATGTAGTATGCCATGGTTACTCAAAAAATGAGTTCATCTGGGAATATATGTATTCTTTGCTACCATCGGAATGTAGACATTTTATTTTATATGGTAATTTGTTTTCAATGCGATTCTTAAACGTTATAAAAATGGAGGGAACTTCAAATTTGTTGGACATAGGGAACATCCATATAAACCAAGAGAAGTCATAAATGAATAAAACATAATATTTGAAACCTTGATCTGGATAACCGGGGAAGGCCCCAGTACATTGAAGAGAATTAAAGCTCGTGGATGAGATGAAATAGATGTAGAATTTGAAAAAGAAAGCTTGTTGCCATTAGAGCCTTACAATCATAACAAGAAAACTTAGAAATGGGAATATGGAGTTGCTTGTGGTTGTTGGAGATAGTCTTGAGAACTTGATGGTAGGGGTGGCCGACGCATTTGTGCCAGAGAGATGGCATATGGGTTATTGCAGAGAGCGGTGTAACTGGTAGAGCTTGGTCCCTTGTGAAGAACTTGATGCGTCTTCAAGTCCTTAATGATGAAGCCATTTGTATCAAAAGAAATAGAAATGACATTATCTTTGGTTAGAGTGGAGATTAATAAGAGATTATGAAAGAGTTGAGGAATGTGGAGAAGTTGAGATAACCGCAGCTTACTGTTTGTGGGTGGATAATATACTAGAGCCGGAGTGGGCAATCATAATGGAGCAACCGTCACCAATGGTGATGTTGTCCGGGCCAGTGTATGGTAGAGGTTGGTTAAGGTTGTCCATGGTGTTTGCCAAGTGAGAAGAGGTACCAGAATCTAGGTACCAATCGGGATTAAGGGGTTCATTGGTGGCCATCATGGCTTTGGAGACAGTGTGAGGCTGAGTGAGAAATGTTGTGGGAGTGTAGCTTAAGTTGCGGAGATGACAACACGCAGAGGCTGGGTGTACTTTCTTATTGCATATCTATAACAAGTGGGAAGGTTAACTAGAGACAAACGAGAAGGCGATTGAGAAAACCTTCCTCATCCTCGACGTCCCCTGCCTCGAGAGGAGTAAAGAGCCATGGTTGAGTCAGTGACTAAAAGCAGTTTGAGGGACTCGGCGTGAAGGTTGATTTCTTCGCTGAGAAGCAACAAATAGAGGTCGTCTAGGCTGATCGGATGAAGCATGGTGCGAATGGATGTCTTGAATGCTTGGTAGGAGGGAGGAAGCCCATTGAGCGTATACATGATGATATACTCAGTGTCTACGGTGGCACCTACGACATCAATGTTGTCAACTATAGTTTTTACTTCGGTTAGGTATTGTGTCATGAAGAGGTTCTTCATGGTAATGTTATGAAGCTCATTTTTGAGATGGATAACACTAGATCTATTAATTGCTTGCAACGACGCTCAATGGTAGTCTAGATGGTGAAGTAAGAGTCAAGGTGAATAATGTAGGGAAGGATAGACGGAGATACAATGGAGCAGATAGTAGCGACCAAGTTCTGATCAATAAGGATCCATTCGATGTATTGAGGGTTTGTGGTAACGGTAGCTTCGGTCATCTGTATAAAACGGGTAGGCAGACTGGATGTAGGAAGAAGGAAAGCTGCAAAGACATTTGCCCTTAGCAGTTTTAAAACCTGATATTTCCATACAGAGTAATTCTCACTAGAGAGCTAGATGGGAACGATTGTTCAAATATTGGAGATGACAAATTTCAAAGAGGTAGGGATGGTGCAACTTTGTGTAAAGCCTGTTGATGGTTGATTGCCAATTTGGGAGCAAAAAGATTGCGCCATAGGAAGGGAGGAGAGGGTTTTAGTCTTCCTCTGATACCATGTAGAAGTATCAATAGCAGATTTTGGTATTGTTTTCAATACATAATCATAATTACAATTGTCTGATATAGAGAGTATATATAAGTAGGGGTGCCAATTTCGAGTCACGCGTCGGGTTCGGGTCAAACCCGGAACTGACCCGGGTTCAAACGGGTCGACCTTAACCCGACCTGGGTAGGAAAAAGGGTTGGAAATCCGAACCCGGACCCGACATAGGAAGGCGCGCGGGCAGCAGCGAGGCTGCGCGGGCTGGCGAGGCTGCGCTGGCTCGTGATGGTACAGACGCGCGCGGGAGCAGCGGCGAGCGCGCAGGCAGGTGCAGCAGGCGCGCGGGCAGCCTCGGGAGCGCGATAGCGTGCTGGCAGGTGCGGTCAACTTTGCGTGCAGGGGGCGGGCAACTCCGCGGGCAGGCTAGGGCAGGTACGCGGGCAACCGGGCAGACATTTTAAACGGGTTTCCGGGTTGACCCGGCAACCCATCGAGTCAACCCGAACCCAACCCGTTTTTCAAACGGGTCGAATCTGGGAACCTGAACCCGACCCGATTTGGAAACGGGTTGGGTCAAACCCGAAATTTTCGGGTAGGGTTTTCGTGTCGTGTCAAATATTGACACCCCTATATATAATTATGAGGAAGAGTATTCTAGATGTCCGTGTGAGGGTGTGATAGCCTTGTGCCGTTATGAGATGATGGAGGAATGAGCATCCTTGACAGAATGCTGTTATTACATTATAATTCCAATAATAGCTCAAGTCTTCTTAAAAAACCATTATCAAAGTATTAAAAAAAGGCACCAAGGAAATTTGTTTGTTAAACTCCTTTTTGACCAAAGTTTATAGTTAGCCACCGAAGTTTAGTTTCATAATGGAGTAAAATGCCATACGTAAATCTCACTTCTTTTCTACAAAATTAGCAGTTTCAGAAGTTGCAGCCTGAAGAGAAAAGAATACACACGGTATGCAATGACTATATAAAAAAATAGTCATCTAAATCTTTTTAATTTCTAAGAAGTTTATAAGACTTGTTGGAAGAAAGACAAATCAACATGAAAAGAACACAAATTGCGAATAAATTATAACTACAACATACCCATGCCTTCCAATAACGGAATAGAAAAGAGAACCAGCTCTATGTAGACCACCATCCTCTAGCCTTGTACTGCGTGGTGCTACATGAGAAACTGGAGCCTGGATGGAAGCTGTAGCAATATCTCTCGGATGGGAGTATGCTGATTGATATCGGTCCCAGGGACCATGGTAACGGGCATCACTCATAGGCAAGCTAAGAGGAGCAGCCTCAGTGGAGTCTGAAACTTGGCTCCATTGATGATAATATGAACTAGTGTCAGTAATGCCGTCGGAGGAAGCATGGAAAGTAGGAACAGATGTCGGTTGAACTTGGTGGAAACCAGATAAATGGGGACACGGGTGAGCAAACACTGAAATAGAGGGTAACTCGGTAATAACATGATGTCCTACAAGATTCTGAACTGCAAAGCAAGTTTATGTTTGCAGAAAATTAGTTCAAATTTTCTCAGCATTCTACCAAGAAGGGTGAGGGTGGGTGCCAAATTACTCTGGGTTCGTAGACTTACAAGGTACTGATGGAAACGACTCACCATTCCTGAAAAATTCTCACTGTTAGTTGCTTGCTACAAACAAATTAAGGAACAATTACAACATCCAATGGAGTTTAAGAATGAAAAGGTATCAAAGAGAAGTAGAGAAAAATAAGTAAAATGAAAGGATATAAAAAGCTTAGAGGTATCAAACTTCTAAACTTCATACTAAGAATAGTGTACCAACTAGTATTTAATGATGTTAGCACACCTTTAAATACGTGAAAAACACAATCAAAATGGAAAATCTTCAAATGGAAATGGAACAAATATATTATTTTGTTAAACTCTTTTTTAAAGATACATACTTTGCCTGAATTCTGGTCTCCTGAACCAACCTGAAGATTTTAATATCCCTTCTATTTATAAGGGAGGGAGAGGGAAAGAAAATATCTTAAATCATAGCTATAAACTGGATCTATATAAATGTAGGATAACCAAACTGTCAACAAACACTTGGATTCATTTCATTTTCTCAAAGCAATTTGACAATACATGGTTTGTCGAAGCTAAGTTTGAATCATCCACACCCAAAAACAACAACAACATCAAGCCTTTATACCACTACGTGGGGTCGGCTACATGAATCCTTTTTTCTTCATTGTGTCCTATTAAAAGTCAAATTCTCGTTTAAATCTAATAAAGAACGATCATTTCTAATATTTTCTAACCAAGTCTTTTTAGCTCTGCATTTACCTTTCTTAACATAAGTCAAATCTAAAAACTCTACTTTCCAAACTGGATCATAGGAAGGCCGGCGTTTTATGTGACCAAACCATCTAAGGCGACTCTCTCTAATTTTATCTTCTACTGGAGGCTACTCCAACCTTTTCACGTATATGCTCATTTCGTATCCTATCTCTAAGGGTAAAGCCACTCATACACATGAGCATCCGCATCTCTGCCACACTTAACTTAGTATTATGCTTCTCTTTTAATGGCCAACATTCGGCACCATAAAGCATTGCAGGCCTAACCACCATCTTATAGAATTTTCTCTTAAGTTTGAGGGGTACTTTTCTATCACACAGCAAGCCCGATGCATTCCTCCACTTCAACCATCCAACTTGAATTCTGCTGATAATATCCCCATCTATTTCACCATCACTCTGAACAATAGATCCAAGATATATAAAACGTGTACTCTTATTAATGACTTGAAAGCCCAAAGTCACAATCACCTCACTAGGTCTATTACTACTAAAATTACACTCCATGTATTCTGTTTTAGACCTACTCAAGCGAAAATCTTTAGACTCTAAGGTTGACCTCCATAATTCATGTTCACCTTCAACTCCCTCTGTAGTCTTATCAACGGGAAGAATATCATCAGCAAAAAGTATACACCTAGGTACATCCTCTTGCAAATGTCTAGTGAGAACATCCATGACTAAAGCAAAAAAGATATGGGCTTAGGGGTAATCCTTGATGTAACCCAACCGAAATAGGGAAATACTTGGTCAAACCACCTTGTGTTTGAACACAAGTAATAGCTCCTGCATATACTGATTTGAATATATACGTTATTAACTCCTTTTTTCTTTTCAAGAACTCTTCATAGCACTTCTCTTGGAACTTTATCATATGCTTTTTCTAAATCAATAAATATCATATGTAGATCCTCTTTATTTTCTCTATATTTCTCCATCAAACCTCTTAATAAATGTATGGCTTCCATAGTCGACCTACCCGGCATGAATCCAAATTGATTTTGAGAAACATTTATATCACACCATAACCTATGCTCCATAACTCGCTCCCATGTTTTAAAGTATGCCCCATTAATTTAATTCCTCTATAATTAGCACAATCTTGTGCATCACCTTTATTCTTAAAAATAGGAATTAACACACTCATTCTCCACTCATCTAGCATCTTTTTAGTTTTCAAAACAGTATTAAAAATTTTAGTAAGCCTTAAAATTCCTTCATCTCCTAAGCATTTCCACACCACTATTGGAATATCATCATGTCCAACAGCTTTTCCACCCTTCATTTTCTTTAAAACCTCTCTAACTTCGGTTTCACTAATACGCCAATAAAAACAGAATCTTCATTCTCATTTAGGGTGTTAAGGTCACTACAGTCAATCTTATTTCACAATCTTCATTAAAAAGTTTAGCAAAATATCTCATCCACCTTTGTTGAATATCATCTTATAAAATAAGTATTTTTTGATCTTCATCTTTAATACACTTCACTGAAACTAAGTTCTTACTACATATATATTTCTCTCTCCTTAAAATCTAATATATTATATAAATCACTAAAAGCTAAGGTCTTTCCATCGCATATTGCTTTCTTAGATTCCTTACGAGTTTCTTTATATCTTTCCCAATTATTAGAGTTTTTACAATTAAACCAATTTTTATAACAAATCTTCTTATTTTTAATTTTTTGCACATTTGGATTCCACCACCAACTATTTTTACAATTACGAGTTTTTCCCTTTGATACTTCAAGCACATCTTTTGCAATATTCTTAATATCACTAACCACTTTTTCCAACATAATATTAGCATCCGCATGCTCAAACAAAATCTTATTCTCAAAAATATTTTTTTGAATATTCTTTAAATGCCCCCATCCAATCCTAGAATATCGTTTTACTTTATTTTTTTATTTTCTGCCCCTTTATCTAAAAGTCCAAAACTAATAATCGATATTGTGTACATAAATTTTCACTCGAATAACTTTATAATATTTGCAATCTAAACGATCTAATTTTTATATAAGAAAATAGTCAATTTGAGTTGTACTATATTCATTTTTATGAGTGAAAAGATGCTCATTTTTTTCTTAAATAAAGTACTAGCAATTAAAAAATCAGAAGCTAAACAAAAATCTAATATGGTCTTGTCACATTCATTTGTCATTCCAAGCCTATGGCCACCATGAATGCTTTTAAAATCATCTACATCTCTACCAACATGTCCATTTAAATCTCCTCCAATAAAATTCCTATATTTTGTATTAGTTTTTCCAAGTCATTCCAAAATTTTAATTTTGAACAATATCCAAACCTACTTGAGGAGCATAATCATTCATAATATTAATAATCTTAGCATCAACAACAATCTTTAAAGCTATAATTCTATCTCCAATCCTATTAATTTTTATAACATTATCCTTCAAACTTTTATCTATAATAACACTTATACAATTTCTAGTACGACTCCTACCCAAATACCAAAGTTTAAATCATAAACTATCAATCTCCTTAGCTTTCTCTCCAACCCATTTAGTTTCCTGAATGCACAGAATATTTAACTTCCTATGAATCATAATATATATTAATTTCAATAATATTCCTGTAAGGGAACCTATATTTCAAGTTCCTATCCTAATTTTAGTTTCATGGACTAGCTTCTTTGCCCACATCCGTCTTTGATGTGGGAACCCTTGCCTATTTAACACTACACCCGGGCACCGATGCAGTGGCCCTTGCACACTTATCACTGTATTCAGATCATACAACGCGTCGCTTCCAGGAGACGTCTTAGCATTAACACAATTTCTTAAATGATTCATGTCATTATTATTCGACAAGTTTTACACTAGCTGTCGATTACCTAATGCAACCCTTCACTTTTCTTATCCAGGACTTGAGACTTGGCAACGACAGTGTTTTGAATCATCCTCACCCAAAAAAATTAAATTCAACAAAACAAAACTTCTTTAAAAAGGCCAGAGAACAGCGATTATAAGTACAAGTTGGTGAAGCAACAATAAAATTCAACCAAACTCTCTAGATAATTAGTCCACATCTTATAATTAAATAACCCTAAATTTAATTTGGTTGCTTTAGTCAAATTTTTGGAGAAAAGAATAGGTCCTAGTTTTCAAGCATGCTTATTGTTTCGGTCCTGTATGTGTTTTCAGTCACATAAATTTTAAAAAAAAAATAGAAATTTACAAAAAAATCTAAAATTTTTAGATTACATCTAGGAAGTTTATTTGACCATTTTCAATTATAATTATTGAATTATATTCATTCCACAAGAGACCATAACAAATTCCGTAATATTAGTATGTTCTAAAATAGAACTAACCTATATCCCTTACAGAACACATTTGGACCACTTAAACTATCATATCTTCATCAAACCTTCCAGAATTAAATAAGATAATATTCCTTACAAATCAAGCCTAAGTTTGTTGGATTTTGATATATGTAGAGAGAGAATCAATTGGTAAAAATTTGGATTTGCATTTTCTAGATAAATTACAAAGCTTGTGACTTACCTCCAAATTTCATCAACTTTCAAATTAACTCCATAAAAATTGGTGTTAACTTTTCTAATCATATTAGAAGAGTTTCATCTCATCCACTAATTGATCACATTAGTGATCTAAGGCCACCATAATCCAACCCTCATCGTCATTTTTTTCATTGGATCCCAAAGAACTCTTCTCTGAAGAGTGAAGTCTAATAGTTAGCCGTCAGGTCAAGTGCTAGCTTCTCCAAATCCTCTCTTATGAAACATGTCTCTCCACCTCACTAGGAACCTATGACCGTCAAGATGATCCTCCTCATATATGATATTGTGATCCACGTCAAAAAGTAAGCGTCAGTTTGGCTCTTTCAAAAAATGATATGGAGTTTCTGCAAAAGAAGTTTCATGTGCATTTGAAGGATGACCAACTCCTTTATATGATATAAGATCTTCCACATTAAAAACTGGGTTAATGTCTTAATGAACATATCTTTTGGCAATTTTATGACATATGCATTCATGACAAATTTTCTAATAATCTCAAATGGTCCACATGCCTAGGCTTGTAATTTTCTAAATTGAGTGGAAGAATCTCTCAAGATGGATTTTTATTAACACACAATCCCCAATGTAGAATTCTTTAAATTTTTATTTTTATTTCAAGATTCAACATATTTTTTTATTTATAGTATTGTTTCTAATGTTTCTTTGCATTATGAAGGCTTTGAAAAATATTGTACAAATATAAATGCATAATTAGAAAATACATGTGTGGGTATATTAACAAGA